TATATATATTCCATCCTAAATTCCCATAGCGTGGGAAACATCCTTATTTGTATATGTATACGCTTTTGTTTAAGTGAGCAATAAGACGATTTCACGGTATTTAGGTTGTTTATATTTATTCAAAATATCTATCTGATTTTTTGGCACCTTTTTGAGATTGATTTTTAAATTTCGTTCTAACAAAATCGTAAAAATTAGTATAGGTAGGAAAATTGTAGATAATATGGAATACTTACAGCTCCATTGGAATTAGATGACAATGCCGTACTTATTTAGGTTTAGCAGGCTTGTTGATGTAGATTGCTACAATTTTAATGCACAGAATTTCTACAGGAATGAACGAAGGAATTCAAATTAACTAGGATAGATTTGTTTTCCATTAAAGGATTTGATTGGATTTTAGGTTTTCTTTTATTGCAGTTGAAGCAGCGAAGTCGAAGAGTAAAGGCGGTGGCGTCGTGGGCAATTCACAATCGTCAGCTTTATTTCGCTGCATACATAAGATTAAAAACTGGCTTAAACTAAACCGAGCTCCCGGCCGCTTTGCTCTCCCAAAACGAGCGCGGGAGATCGCCGACGGTCGGCAACTTAGACCCGAGAGTTGGAGCGCGAGAGCAAGGGAGGCGCGCGCGGCAGAGCTCGGTAAGCTCCGCAAGCAGAGGCGGCACAGTGGGCCTCATCTAAACATCCTGCACCCCCTTTCAATCGCTCGGGTTGCAACAAGGTCGTTGCGGCTATGGTTGGTGGCAGGCTCCGGAGACGACCCATCTAAACACGGTGCTTTGGGCCACTGGTAGTCCGTCCTGGATCTTCACGAACCCTGGCTGCATCACTCGCGGATAGATGTCCGCGCCCAGGACCACAGAGATCGTAGCCGGTAAGTAAAAACGCTCGTACGCCAACGTGATGTCCCGGAAGTGGGTCCGCACCGATTCGCTCACTTCCCGGACTAGAGTGCGAATGCGAACGTGAGGCTCGATCTTAAACATCACGTCCAGCCGGATATGGCTATCGACCCTCGAACCAATGGTGGCCGAACAGATTTGATCACTGATTTGAAACTCGCCGCCAGCGACGCGTCGATGCAGCTTGTAGGTGTGCACGGATCTATAAGCGCGGCCGTGTCGAAGATCCGGGTCCCGGTGTCAATCTGCACCAAGGCGGTCGGGAGCACGTTGACGCAGTGCCGCTGCAGAAGCGACGACAGCGTCGGGGCCGTGGCCACGCTTCGCGAGGGCCCCTGGCCAATGGCGGATGACTGCCTTTGCGCGACGGACGAGGGCGGGAGCGCGGTGGACGAACTCCGTGGAGCGGCGGACGGAGGCCGGGACGCAGTGGGAGAGCGCCAAAACGTGGCGAGGGCGTTTCGCGACCGACGCGCCTCCTGACGCGGTTGGTGCGGAGTCATCGGTTGCTCGGTCAGGTGCAACAGCGTGTGGTGCTCCTGGCCGCACGTTTTGCACCGGTCCCCCCGCCGACACGCTCCGTCCGAATGCTCGTGGGCCAGACACCTCGGGCAGTACCGATTGGCGAGTACTGCCCTTAGCCGCTTCTCGGCATTCAGGCGCAGAAAGCGGCGACACTTCCGCAACGGGTGGATCCTTCTGCAGACTCGGCAGAGGCAGAGGATTTTCAACTGGCTGTTAACCAATAATCTTCGATTTTCGAAGCGGTCGGTGAGGCTTCGCTACGCCGAGACGAAACCTTCATTGGTGAGCGGGGCCTTGGAAACTATGGCGTTCGCGTCGCCACTTGTTTTCGACAATAGGTGGAACAATTTTTCGACTGGTGTGACACGAAAGTTGTTGATATAAATCGCCGTGAACAAGTCCCTGAAGGTGGGCCAGCGAAGATAGTCGCCCGCAAACACCTCGGTGTCTACCGGTGGTAAACGACAACCGGTGGAAGGGGGTGTGTGGACGCTGCTGGGAGCCAGAGTTGACTGGCCCGCGTCCCTTTCTATTATCTCCTGCAGCTGGGCCACACACCTGGAGTAGACGGAGTAGCAGTAGCTATACTTAGCTTCTAACACCGTTGACGTGTCCGCACCGTCGTCGGACACGGAGAACAGTTCGGAGCAGCTCTCGTAACTCTTCTCCACCTTCTCCCACAAAGCCCGGATTTGATCGCGACGCACTTTACACGTGGAAGGAAAGGGCTGGGGTGATTTCTGGGGCGCCTAGAGATTGGATCTGTACCTCAAATTGACTCACACGGTCTGTCGTGGCAATAAACTTCCTAAACGCAATGTCGATGGCGGTTTGAGCCATTTTTGTGGTCGTTCGTAAGTGATGGAGCTGGGCTAGTATTTAAAGCTGTTTGCTCTTGAACGGACAGCAGTGGACTTTGCTTTAAGCGGAGAGTGTCGCGGAGATGCGGACTGGGATCTTCCCAAACGAATTGACGGAATCGGCCGTAATTAAATTATGGGAATAATTTTAATTCGAAATTAAAAGTGTTGTGTATTTTAGAATATATAATATATTTCGGACGTAGAGGTTTGCTTATATTTTGCTTAGAAAATTGGTCACGAATTGTGGATGGATCCCGTAATAAATTAAATACGGATTTAGGAACGTATTGGCCGAAAGTAATTGTTGCCAAATTTATTCATCACGGATCCGAAATGGCTTTGTTCGAGAGAAAACTCAGTGGGTCATGCCGTCGACAAAGCAGTGCATGTGTGCGGGACTCAAAAAAATCAACCAAGCGGCAAGAACAACACGGCGGTTGCGACGGCTCAGTGGAAAAGCTTAAATTAAAAATTAATTAACTTAAATTAATTAATCAAATTCAAATTCTGGATCTATTGATGGATGTTGAACTATGAGCCGCAGATGTTTAATTGTTTAAACGCCGGGAAGGTAGAATTAAAAAACTAACATCCGTTTTTTGGTCGCGGAGAAGAGCTCACTGGGATAAGCCGTCGGCAAAGCAGTGGTGAGTGGGGGACCCAAAGAACTACAGGGCAACAACAATTGAAGACAGTTAAAAACACTCGTTTGTAATTAGGTTTTGCTGCTCAGCTCAGAATAGTGCGAAGCTTGCCTAATATATGTATGTATGTAGATTGTGGAAATCGATGCTCAGCGCAGAATAGCGCGAAACTTGCCCAATGTATGGGTGTATGTGTGTTAATTGGCATTTCTTTGACATAAATGAAAATAGGATAAAAAAATTCGGATAATTTTAAATCCTTGGTTCCCGAAATTTATTTCTTTAAAGTTGTAGGTGGCGGATTTTGTCTCGTCGGCACTGTTCGGCTGTGGAATGTATGAGTCCAGGTGCTTGTACACGCTCTAGGCACAAAGAGGAGACGAGGAAAAAAAAAGACCAATAATTACTTGATAAGCCCTTATGCTGGCGTGTGTATATATGTATGTAATAGCTGGGAGATCGATGCTCAGCGCAGAATAGCGCGAAGCTTGCCCAATATATATGGATGTATGTAGAATATGTAGGGTTTGTATTGGCACAGTGGAGCGTCGAGAAGTGGACTGTATTGAATTGTGCGAACAAAAAAAATGTGTATACAGCACATAAAAGTAGCGAAAAAAATATCGTGACAGCGGCGGACTGTTCGGCGAGCAGGGTGAATTCCGCAACAAGCGCACACCGGCTGCCCGATATTAAATATACCTTTCTTTTAGTAACACAATTTCCCTGTTCACGGAGAACTTTTTTGGTACGGAAATATTAGCACAAGTTTAGAATGCGTGTGTGTGTATGTTGCTGCACATAGGCCTCGACCGTTGGCAAGTGGATGAACAACGGGGAATCGAAGAGACGGCGTGTAGGATGGCGGCGCACACAAAACGGACACGGATAGAAAGTTTCGAAGTTCGGAGGCGAATAGCAAGTGGAATTTCTCACCGCCGTGGTGTCAGGAAAAACTCGGACGGGAGTTGACACGAAGAAAAACAACAAATTTTGCAGCGGTGCGACCGAAATTAAATGTTCGGCCCACTGTTGAAGACCGGCAGCGAGAACGAAAAACGGAAGAAGTCGTACTTATCTTGGCGGACAGTTGCTGGGAACTGCTGGTAAGACGGCGGAAGGATATCCTGTAGAGATCCGGCTCGAAGGACCAAAATGTGTAGGGGGCGTCCTGCCGCAAGATCCTGGAAAATGTAGCCCAGTGGAAATTCCCACGTCGCAAGCGAAGTCGAAGAGTAAAGGCGGGGGCGTCGTGGGAAATTCACAATCGTCAGCTTTATTTCGCTGCATACATAAGACTAAAAACTAGCTTAAACTAAACCGAGCTCCCGGCCGCGCGGCAGAGCTCGGAAAGCTCCGCGAGCAGAGGCGGCACAGTGGGCCTCTTCTAAACACCTATGAATACGGTTTTTAGGCGAACAAGATTGTTGGCTCTGTATAGAAAAAACATAACGATACAGGGAAATTATGTCGGGATCTTATACAAGATACAGAGTTTCATTTCAGGAACATTTTCGGCAATAGATGAAACTTCGCTAAAGCCGTGATTTGCTCGGCGGTTACTTTTTGGAATTGGCTTTTTCCGAATTTAGCCACCCTAAAAGTTGCCACCAATTGTTATTTGGCCCTTTGGATGACATCTTGTAACACGCGATTACATTTAACCGAACCTCAACCTCCTTCCAACAATATGGCAGAACTTTCAAATTGCTTGTCAGATTCAAATGTATTACGAATTTTTTTCCTGTTTACTTACTTAGTTATTTTTGGTTTCAAATGAAACATCTAATTATCATCAAATTAATTATCCTTATACTTTAGAGTTCAAATAACTATATTTGCTTTCCATATTTCCATCAAGCTTCGCAATATGTTTTTTTTTCTCCTTTTACAGTTTAGTCGGCTAATCGGTTTTAGTTAAGTGATACAGCATCTACAGGAATGATTTCCCAGTTGTACCTCTATATACAGATAACACATAACCATAAATTAACATAATGTTTGTGAGAAAGACTACAAACATTCCACCCGTTTGGTTATAATTAATCAAACGCACGAAACGGTTACAATAATATCAGCCGTGTTAATTCATTTTTTTTTTTTTTTTTTTTTTTTATTTGAAGTTTCAGACTAACGATTCGAAAGTTTGACTTTAAAATATATTTAGATGGGCATAGGCATACAAAAGTAGTTTAGCTGAATAGATAACGCGACAGCTTTAACGATATAAGAAAGATAGGGAAAATAGAAAAGAAGACTATAATAATCTAAGTTTGATCATTTAATTTAACAACAATTTCTTATTAAGAATTTCTTAAAAACAAATATAAGAAATTAACGATATGTAATAAGATGTTCACTATACGCCTTGCGTAGACCGGCCACGTCCGTCGCCATTTTCAGCTCATGGCAACAATTAACCTATATTTTAGATAAAAAGAAAAAAATTTATTTATTTAAAGGCAAACAGTAGTGAGTTTAGTTTATTGGTCATTATAAAAAGAAAATTACCTAACTTTGGTGAGCCGAAACTTGAGGATCCTTTGTTCAAAAGTGAAGTTAAATATTTATATATTCTTATACCACAGACTATACAGAGTGGAAGATCCGTAACGGCATACGATTTTTTTGCACACGATTTTTTCGTGCTGGCTCTTGAACTGGCTTCAGGCTCTCCCACAATTCGTTCAAAAGCCAGCGAGAGAGCGCTCTAGAGCCAGGAACAAGGCGTGCCTCAAAATATCGATTGAATTTATTACATATTTATACCCTTGCAGGGTATTATAATTTCAGTCAGAAGTTTGCAACGCAGTGAAGGAGGCACCTCCGACCATAAAAAGTATATATATTCTTGATCAGGATCAATAGCCGAGTCGATCTAGCCATGCCCGTCTGTCCGTCTGTCCTTCTGTCCGTCTGTCCGTCTGTCCGTTTCTACGCAAACTAGTTTCTCAGTTTTGAAGCTATCTTAATGAATCTTTGTAGTTAGCCTTCTATATACTCTCACTCGTATATATGTCGGAACGGGCCAGATCGGACGACTAAATATGATATATATAGCTGCCAAAGAAATGATCGGAAAATTTTTACAAAAAATATTATAACATTTTCAATTTTCAACAGAATTTAATCAAAATTTAGATATAGTCATTTCATATTATTCTACAATTTTGTGTAAAATTTTATGAATTTTTATCGGACTACTATATCATATAGCTCCCATAGGAACGATCGAGAAATTAATACAATTAAAAATTATAACATTTTCAGTTTTCAACAGATTTTCATCAAATTTGAGGTATAGCCATTTTAAATTAGTCTTAAATATTGTGTCAAATTTTATGAAAATCAGACGACTATTATTTATTTAAAGGCAAACAGTAGTGAGTTTAGTTTATTGGTCATTATAAAAAGAAAATTACCTAACTTTGGTGAGCCGAAACTTGAGGATCCTTTGTTCAAAAGTGAAGTTAAATATTTATATATTCTTATACCACAGACTATACAGAGTGGAAGATCCGTAACGGCATACGATTTTTTTGCACACGATTTTTTCGTGCTGGCTCTTGAACTGGCTTCAGGCTCTCCCACATTTCGTTCAAAAGCCAGCGAGAGAGCGCTCTAGAGCCAGGAACAAGGCGTGCCTCAAAATATCGATTGAATTTATTACATATTTATACCATTGCAGGGTATTATAATTTCAGTCAGAAGTTTGCAACGCAGTGAAGGAGGCATCTCCGACCATTTAAAGTATATATATTCTTGATCAAGATCAACAGCCGAGTCGATCTAGACATGTCCGTCTGTCCGTCTGTCCTTCTGTCCGTCTGTCCGTTTCTACGCAAACTAGTCTCTCAGTTTTGAAGCTATCTGAATGAATCTTTGTAGTTAGCCTTCTATATACTCTCACTCGTATATATGTCGGAACGGGCCGGATCGGACGACTAAAAATAATATATATAAGCTGTCATAGAAATGATCGGAAAATTTTAGAAAAAAATATTATAACATTTTCAGTTTTCAACAGAATTTAAAAATTGAGATATAGTCATTTCATATTATTATGCAATTTTGTGTAAAATTTTATGAAATTTTATCGGACTACTACATCATATAGCTCTTTTAAGAGCGATCGAAAAATTAATACAATTAACAGATTTTCATCAAATTTGAGATAAAGCCATTTTATATTAGTCTTAAATTTTGTGTCAACTTTAATAAAAATCGGACGACTATATCATATAGGTTCCATACAAACGATCGTTAGATGTGGAGCAAAAATGAAAATTTGTGACTGTAAAACTGCAAATATTTATTTTATTTATTTATTTACTATTAGCTAATTATACATAAAAATATTTATAATATAATAACTAATCATAGATAGGAGTAACTAGCTACTAAGGCCATCGACTTGATAATTAATATTGCAATTTGTTTCAGTGGGGGATTATGGCTAAATAGTTAATGAGAGTTATAACATGTCGTGCTGTTTAAATTAGGTGTATGATTTTACTTTTTCTTAAGAAAGATATTATTTGGTTTAAGTTAGTAGTTGTTAGAGTAGCTAATAAGTTGGAGGGCGGTGTAAGCCCGAAGAGATTGGTCCTAAGTTTATGATAGTGTCTACATGAATCCAGTATATGTTTGACTGATAGATCCTCCTCCCCACAGTTAGGGCAGTTTTGCCGTCTTTCGCCGTTTAGTATGTGCTTGTGTGTGAGTTTTGTGTGTCCAGTTCTTAATCGAGTGATAATGGCGCATTCTCTTCTGTCGCACGACGCAGGGTATTTGGTAGCCTTTTTTTTCAGGGTTAAATTGTTTATACCAGTGGACAAATGACGACCAGCCTTCCAATTCGATGTCAAGCAGTATCTGTTTGATATTTATCTAGATGCCCTGCTGTACTCCCGGTATAATTGTATAGCACGGAGCCCATCCGGCTAACTTTGCTGCCTTGTCGGCTAACTCGTTCCCAGGTATTCCTATATGTGCTGGTACCCATAGTTGCTTAATTTTGGCACTATTATGTATGCAGAGGTGACGAATTTCACATAGAAGGTTGCTGTTATTGTAGAAATTTTGGACTCCTTGCAGGGTAGAAGGACTGTCACTGCAGATGATATTTCTTCCTTTTAGTTCGAGGGCCAGTTTGATTGCTTTAATAATGGCTACTGCTTCTGCAGCAAAAACCGAATAGTGGTGCGGTAGTTGGCCCCATGAGATAATTATTCCGCGATCGTCTACCACTGCGAAGGAGGTTGTGGCTTCTGACTTGGATCCGTCCGTATAGAACCATTTCCAATCAGAGTAGTTGTAGGTAACTTCTTGAAATAGCTGCTTAAATGTTGTGACCGGTGTCCTGGATTTTTTCAGGATATGGAGTGACGTGTAGATGGTCGTGGAGCGAAGTTTCCATGGGGAAGACGGGATGAATTTATTCCATCGGTAAGGCTTTTCAATGTTGTATCTCTTCGCAAACTGTAAACATCTTCGAATTGTGGATTGAACTTTGAATTGCCTTCGATGCTTCAGGGCCACATCGCAGTACTTGCAGAGAATGGAGTTCGTGGAGCACATGACTTTTGGTATCAGTTTAAAAGTGGTTTGGGCTACTCTGGTTTTGATATCTGATAATCCGGCTTCGGTTAGGAAGCATTTCGTTGGAGTCGTCAATACTCCGTCTCACAGCAGCGTGATAAGGAGGAAGGATCTTATTTAGGTTAGATGGCGCACACCATCCGTAGATAGGGAGGCCATACTCAATTTTGGATAGCATCAAGGCTCTCGTCGCTTGTATAAGTGTTAAGGGGTGGATTATTGAACGCTTAGTTGTTAAGAATTTAATAATGTTAAGTCTATTGATAAGAATTATTCTAAGATCTATACAATGTTGTTTGAATGTGAGTCGTTTATCGATAGTCAGGCCGAGAATTTTAAGAAATGGTACGAGTTCTATGTCTATGTTAATGAAAAATAATGATGGATATGTACAGTGTTGTTTTTTGCAAATATGAAAGAGTTTACATTTATTTACAGCAAGGGTAGCACCACAAGTGTTTCCCCATATTTGGATTTCATTAGGAATATCTGTGAACTTATTGTTGAGTGAATTGGTATTCTTAGATTGAAAGGTTAATTTGCTTATATCTTAAAATTATGTTATTTAAGGATTGAAAGGCAATCATGAACAACAACACAGAAAGGGGCGATCCTTGTGGGATGCCATTGTGGAGAGTATAGAACTTTGATAGAGTGTTGTTTACTCTTGCTCGAAATGAACGGTTGATCATGAAAGCCTTCGCTTAGTTGAAGGTCTTTTGACCTACCCCACACCGGGAAAGTTGATCCAGTACTGTATGCACCCCTATGCGATCAAAAGCCCTTTCGAAATCAGTTGCCAGAATGGTAACATGATTTTTGGTGGAAAGGGCATCAGGGTAGGGCGGGTCATTACAAATTTGTTTTCGACTTTGAATCGCTAATAGGGCTTAAAAGCTGTGTACACATGTCCAGAATACGTGTGCAAAATCCGATTGCTGTGAGACGATGTCTTCCGTCTGCGCATTGACGACAAAAATAAAAAAAATTTTAGGTGAATGTATGGAAAATTTGGAATTTTGCTAATTTTTTTTCTGTATCAATGTTCAACTTTTACTAGCCAAAACGAGAAGATAGGAAAGCCATCGAGGATAACAGAGTTAACAAGAGACCAATTGAAGATGTGTTAGCCAGTGGTTCAGTGTGTGCTAGTGACGATGAAACGAGTGACAGTGATATAAATGACGCTGACTTTAGTGTACCCGCTTTATCTGCTGATAGATCTAGAGTGAAACTGCCTAGATTGACCTCTTTTGCCAGCAAGTGTGACAGATTTGGAATTGGAGACAGAGCTGCAGCATCTCTTGAATCATCTCTTCTCCAGGATCTTTCACGGCCAGAGGTTTCCTCTTGCAAAACAATGCCATCTACATCGAAAGGCCCACTTATTATTGACAAGAGCAAAGTAAGACGTGAGAGGACGAAAACACAGCGTCAAGTCACAGAGAAAGAATGTCTAGATACAACCATTGAAGCTTTATTTTTTGACGGCCACGAAGATAATACTCTTACGATTGAAACTACGAGTGATGGCTGGCAACACCAAAGGGTTGTTAAAGAAAACCACTTATCCCTCGTAAAACAACCCGATGATGAATATTTTGGTCATGTTATATCAGAATCTTATGTGGCTGAAGAAGTGTTTAAGTCTATCTGGACTTATCTTCAAGAAAAGACCTATGGTGATTTGTTGACGCTAAAACTCGTGGGATGTTACGGTGCTCCAACAAATACAGGAATACACAACGGCATTATCCGCCGTATGGAAAAGGAACTTGGGCGGCCTCTGCAGACGGACATTTGTCAATTGCACACTAACG